AAATTGCAATTAATCTTGCTTGCCTACACCTTTTTCTTTTAAATCAATACAAAACTATTAACTATATTAAATTCTTTAAAGATTTGGATCTTAAATCTATTCATATATCACTTCACTTTAATACTACATTTAACAATTTTGATCAATTATTTCTTAAAATCAAAAATGATACCAAATACAATATTTACATTACCTTTGATATTTCTTCACAAAATTATTTAAAAACCTTTTATATTTCTTCTTTTAAAACTTACTGCACAATATTTGACAAATGGTTCTTAAAATTTTTTAACTTATACAAAAAACAATTCTTACACATTAACCAACAAAAAGTTTATAACTTTATTAATCACCAAATTATTATTTACCTTTCTAATGAACTTAAAAAACTACTTCCAAACTCCTACCAATTTTCTACAGTTAACTTATTACAAGAAAAGACTAAAGCTTCAATTAAAGTATCACTATACCATATCTATACTTGTACTAGCAATATTTGTACTATTTTTTCCAACAATATTCCTTATACTTTTAAAATTTTAACTTTATTTTACTTTCAAAACTCATTTAAAACCTATATCTATCCTTATTTAAATTTTGCTATTTTTTAACCAACCCAACCTCTAACTGCTTCCTTCTCCAACCCTTTCTATTCGAGTCTCTTAAAAAATTAGTCAACTCAGCAGAACAACAATTTATACAACTTAATAATACTTCTACAAATTCCAAACGTGAATACTTCTTCTACTACACTTATTTAAAATATTATTTATAGCCGCTGCTAAGAATGACAATATTAACTCTAGTTTAAAAAATGCTTTTCAAAATGCTTTTACTAAAACAACTAATCTACATACTCTCACTAAAATTATATCCTATTTCGATATCATACAATTTTTCAATTCACCAATTTCTCAAATTAAATACAAATATCATCAATTCTACCTTTCACAAGCATTAGAATATATTTCTAAAAAACTTCAAACTCCTAAAGTTTCTACCAATCTCTTTTTTCCTGAATTGAAAGTACCAGATACTGTTTTTAAAGGTCTTTTTCACCCAACACAAACCCTTCATCTACTAAATCTGCTTAAATACTTATTATTTCTTAACAATATAATATATTACTACTATTCAGTATACGAAATTCATTATTCTCATGGTTCTCAGAGAACATAAAAATATTTTTGAGAACATTTTAACTTAAACAATATTCTCTTATTTGAGAACATTTTTGTTAAATATTAGTTCTTAATAAGAACATAAATTTATTTATAGTGTTCTCAAGAGAACATAATTATTAATTTATAGTTCTTAAAAAATATAAATATCTATATATTTAATAATACGATTTAAATATTATAGTTCTTAAAAAAAATAAATGCCTATTTAATAATACAATTTAAATATGATTTTATTCTATTTTCTAATACAAACTATCAAGCTTTGATTTTAACTTATGGTTATTACATTTATCACATCATAAACTTAATTATTTTTATATATTATATTACATTAATAAGCATGGCAAAATTAAAACTTGTAACGTAGTAAAAATAATATGGCAGGATGAAACCCATAACAAAAACCTATAAAATTGGTTAAGTTATTGATGCAGTTTACTAAAATAGTAACTAACCTATCACTAACCCTAACTAAGTAAGATCTGTATCAAAAACATACGTAACTTCTCTGTCACAAGTTTTACCTTTTCACAAAATAATTTAAAATTTTTTATCGCACTGTTAGATTGTAATATAATTACATAAAGTATTTATTACATTTAATATAAATAGTATTTTAAAAATTTATATGTACTATTTGTTATTTCAGGTTTTATATTGTGATTCACTTTTTAATTCTTACTTTTACTTATTTTTTAGATTAAAGTTACTATGATCATTATGATTATAACTTTACATCGGATATACTAAAGAAAATACTTCTAGAAGCAATACTTTTTATTAAAAGTAAAACTTGTCAATTGACTATATTAATGCATCAGGTTTGTTTTTTTTTAGAAAATCGTCCCAAGTCAAACATGTTTTAATTTCTACTGTATACAATGTTTGAAGCTAATTTATCTTTAATATTTCACATTATTATCTAAGTCAATTAAAGTTTTGTTGAGATATACAAAGATATATACATACATATGTATATAAGTATGTACGTATGATTTAAACTAGTGATACAAAGATAAATTATCGATTTTAATAAAGCAAAAGATCTAAAATTCTTAAGAAATAATATGCCAAATATACTTAATTGCATTCCATATATACTACTAAAACTTAAAATAAAAATTACTAAGCTTGTCTTCGATAGTTGATATTTATTCTATATGGATATATATTTATGATGTGGCATCTAATTTCTCATGCATTGGTACTAAATTTAATAATTTGCATTAAAAAAATTGTGAATCACTTACAAGTTTTAGATTGATTTTAATAATAAAACAACTTATTATTTGATGAATGCTTGCTGAATTTTGCTTAGTAAAAAAATAAATTTAAATGATTATTAATAATTAATAATAATATATTAATATAATGAAAATAAAGTTTTAAACAACAATTATTTATTTAAATTATATATACGCACTTGTTTGATTTAGACTAGTAAAAGCAAAGATAATAATTATATAAAAAAGCTGAAGATATTAATATTTTACTTGTTACTTAAAGTATTAGAAGGTGATTAAACTTATCAAAATATTTCTTATTAATCTTATAACTCTAAAATAAATACAATGTCCAAAAAAGAAAAAACTAAAAAAATACCACTTATTACTCCCTTTAGCATTGCTGCCAAAGAGAACAAATGACAAACTGTAAATAGCAGTTCTGAGAATCATTCAAGTGATGAATCAGAAACTTCAAACCTTTCAAATAATAATAATAATCTTCGCAATCTTAAAGTACCACGTTTGTCTAAAGAATTTTTAAAATGGGATTCAAGCTGGCCAAAAAAATTTTCATGGATATATCGTGAAGTGGATGCTCAAACAAATCTTATGTTTTGTCATTGGTATCAAGAAGCAGGCAAACTGAACAGTTTTACCTCTAGTTGCACATATTTTAAATTATAATCTTTAACTCGACATATTAATAACAAAGATCACCAGTCTATTATTGCAGCTCAATCAATAGAAGCTCAAGCAGATATTCAAACTTCTTTTGTAATTTAGGCTAAAATAGATAAACAATGAGTTATACAAAATATGCAAAATATATATTTTTTAATCAAACATAATTTAGCAATAAGGATATATGAGGATTTGTGCAAGCTGATAAAAATTCAATATAATAGTTATCAAGATGAATTTAGTATTGAGTCTAGTACATTATCTTTTACAAATGACCAGCTTCTAAATAATGATAACTTGCGGGCACCATATACTAGCTATACAAATGATAAAGCAGCTCATAGATTTATTGAAGCAATTGTATATGTAATTGAACAATCAACCTTTAAATAATTGTGTGCATCTAAAAGTTGTGGTATAATGTTAGATGCAAGCACTACTATATCTACTGAAAAAACATTAGCTATAGTTTTAAACATTTACTTAAACCTGAAAAACCTATTTATTGATTTCTTGATATGATTTCTCTTACTGAACAAATATCTGATATTATAATGGCAGATCTCAATTACTTTATTCAAGCAAAAAATATCTCTTATAATAATTTATATCATATTTGTATATATAGAGCAAGTACAATAATTGGTATGTTTAATTTTATATTATAATATAGCATATTAGTTTATTAATTAAATAAAATTTAACTTTAATATATAATTTATAGGAATTTATAAAGGTGTTGCTACTCAAATAAAGAATAAAAATTCTTTTATTTTACAACATCATTGTATT